CATTGGTCCGATCGACTATTCACTGTTCTTTAATTGGCGGTATCATTACGTTATATATAAACTGATAGGGGCAACAAGACCACAATTTATAACACTATTAACTGAATCAACAACTGGACATGATATCGAATCTAAGTTTTATACCATACACAATACTTTTAGATATATACACTATTATACATTGTATTGAATTCATATGGAATTCAATGATATTCCTATAGACTAACTTCAGAATACTAAAAATTAAGAAATCATAGTTAATGTATGGGATAAACTAATATAAGAAGTTAGACCAACATTGAAAACCTGGAAGCACTGGACGGCCGTTTCATCCTATTGTGGGACTCCTCAGTAGTGCTTCCAGGTTTTTCATGGTGGTCTAGCTTCAACCCATATTATCCACAAAACCCCTTCTGATATTCATATAAAAAGCTTAAATCTTCATTGAATAGTCAAAGAAATTGTAATCTTGTCAGTTACTGAATGTTTGTTATTTCTTTTCAAAGGAATATCAATAATGAATATCACTAGAAATGTTTCTATGAGTGATTTAACGTACAATATTATTTACTTACAACCTATTACCCCTATTGAGAGGAGTATAGCTCGCTCATCAGCACTTTCCATCCAACTTTATCTTCGGAAATCTTTTTCAATTCTTTCCAATTGCTATTCATCTTTCTCATATCTACTTCCAATGCCTGGAATTCATCTCCCCCCCGATCATAGAAATGACTAAAAAACAAGAAGAAAAATATAATCATGCGAGTTTGTGGGTGGATATGCTCGGTGGTGTTGTGAAAATCAATAAAAAACATTCTCATACTATAAATCTAGTTGAGAATAACATCACCGGGTGTTTTTCACCCTCACGCGCTTGATAAGTCATCTTCTTTTATGATGAAAATATAAACAGAAAAACAACGACAACAGTAAGTTATAATGTAATATTTTCACTTCATTTATTGATATGATTAGTATGCTGATATTAATTATGACGATCAAATCAATAATCGATTCATAGTGTGGTGTATACTACTGATGTCAGTAGATATAAGTAGTATGTATCATGATTTGAAAGTGAAATACCTGGCGGTAGAAGGTTAAGAAGATCAAAGAAAACAGAACGAGAACAAAGAATGATAAATGTGGAAATGAAGGAACAATCAAGTCTGAGACGATTAATGAATTATTTACTGTATGGTTCTCAGATTTCAGTAAGTGATTCTATCAATTTGTATTCACATAGGTTTGGTTGTCCACACTTGTGTTTACCTTCAATACAACAGCACCTATTTGATTAGGAGATGAATATTGTCAGTTATATTGTTGATACTTGTGTGTTGTGTGCTACTGATATCGATAGATATAAGTAGTATGGATCATCATTTGAAAGTCGAATGTCTGGAGACAGAAGATTAAGAAGATTGAAGGGAAGAGAACGAGAACGAAGAAGGATTGATGTGGAGATAAAGGGACAATGAAGTCTGAGATGATTGGCAAATATTTTATAAATGAAGTATTTACTGTATGGTTTACAGATTTTACTAAGATAATCTGTAATGTTGTATTCAAATATAGTCGATTTTCCGCATTTGTGTTCTCCTTCACTACAATAACACAAGAGATTAGGTATAGGAAATGCATTTTTCGATTAGAAAATAATGTAAAGGGCAAGAGTCACTTCGTCCTATTTGATACTTGTTAGCTGAATCCGAGAGTTAGTGTTCACTTCTGAACTCGAAACCAGTATCGTTCATTTCAACTAATGCCATCGCGTTATCCACTTAGTTACTGAGTGTTAGATTTCACGATGATATTCTATAATTTCATGACGAAATACATTTGGTTGTCCTCACTTGTGTTCTCGACCACTGCAATAATAGATCTGTTCATTTCATAAGATTGAACAATGTGTGAAATAACGATATAAACATTTGTGTAATTCTTAAAACGAGGACTCATATTCGGATCTTAGTGAATTCCTCTCTGCCTCATTAAATATCATCATCATACTTTTCTACTTGTTTGAATTCAAATGGATTATGCAAATATCGATGCTACATTTTGATGTGATGTGATGTGATGAATAGTGTGGAAATGTAACACGTAGGACCATCTCACAAAGGATTCCTGTCTATATTTTCATTGTAAAATTACTAGAAGATGAGATTGTTATATTTTTATATTCTCCTATCTCTAAGGTTTCGTCTGACATATAAATCACTGTTACGTCTTATTGTTCCATTGTATCACTTATGACTGAGTTGTGTACATTTTGTACTTCAGCGATTGTGTTGCTCTATGGCCAGATATCTTATGTATGTTATTGAATGACCCTTGAATTATGATTGAATAGAGTACAATGGAGAAATTAGCTAGTTTATATTTACGTGCTTCGATTGTCCACTGGGTTAGTAAGAGCTTCAGGACCAATGAGCATTAAAGTCTTGGTTGTTGTTGTTGTTGTTATTGTTGATTGGTCAGTGTGTCAATTGATGCCTAGAAGATCAACGACCCAATTGACAATATAAATGGGCTAATCGATAATCAGAGTAGAGAGAGAGAGGTTATACAACTGCTCTCCGGTCATTACGGCCTGATTACGCGGGATTCAGTAAAATCTAGGCACGCGGTTTGTTTATTCCCAACATAACACTTTTCTACTGATATTAACATTTCAAGCAGTTAGACTTTACAGTGTATATTAATATGAAGTACGATGTTTAGGAAAGATGAAATATAAGATATATGTATAAGTTTAATAATGATTTACTGAGGAACTTAGAGACGTTTTGAAGAATCTTGTCGTTGACGAAGTAAACCGTCGAAATAAATAATGTTTGGATTAATTTGGAACGAATAATCAGACTACTTCTACAACCAGAATAAATGAACAATTCTTCTACTCATAGAACTATCATTGTTTTTTGAAGTGTCTTGTTTCTCTTTGAATTTCCTTGAGAACACAGAAGACTTGTTATGTATTTTAAACTTTCTCCATGATAATCCCTTTAAAAAGTGAATAGTAGTAAACTAGGACCGGAGTTAGACAAGGTTGCTTACTCTCCCCCATTCCTCATTCTTCCGGTGGTTGACTGGATTATAAAGCCCCCCACATATGAGGGGAAGCAAGGAATACAACGGACAGCTTGCACGTAACTCGACGATTTGGACTTCACAGATGACCAAGCCCTTATATCCCATACACACCAAAAAGTGAAGATGAAGACAACCATTTTAACATCAGTAGGTCCCAGCATACACAAGGGAAAAAGTAACATCCTCAAATACAACACAAAAAACACCAAACCAATCACAATTGATGGAGAAACTCTGAGAGAGGTGGAATCTTCCACATATCTGGACAGCATCATCGATCAACAAGAAGGATCCAATGCAGATGTGTTAAATGTATATTAACCATTAAACATCAACCTAGTTGTCATAAGGTTAATATCCCTGAATTGAATTTTCAGTTTTGTAATGGTTATGAGCTAATGAGAAGTTATTGACAAGAGTCGAGCATCACTTCAAACCTTTTTTTTGCATGTTATCAAGCTGGAATTTGTTACTTAAATGTTACACTAAAGAACAAGCAAGTAAACTTTAGCATATGGTTAACTTGAATGGATTATTTAAAACGAATATATACATATATTGAATCACACTGTTTTCAATTAGCTCCTAGACGAAATATGCCCTCAAATGCCTTGGTACATACGAGGTTGTGGGGAGACAGCTCTCTCTTCCTCCAAATGCTTTCACATGATCACGCGCATTCAGCAAATTTCGGGAAATTCCTACTAACTGCATTCTCGCACTTCGGGTGTTGTTTACAAAATTAAGAGGATGAAAAGTAAATGTCCGGCGGGAGGTTGAAACGGATTGGTAAGGACGGAGGGTTCATTTATGGGGGTTAGAAAACCCTGATTCCAAACCAGTGAGCTTCAGGGTACTGAGGAAACAAATGCAGTACATATCAGTCCTTCGTCATCGGCTAACAAGGGACCGTATCTCCTGATGTTGCTCCACTTCCTTGTAGATCAGAACTTTAGGTCGAAGGCTTCGGGTGTGTTCCCCTAAGAAAACCACTTGCTTCGGTTTGGGCACCGGGGTAGTATCTCGGCCCGGATACAAATCAGGTGACTTGTGTGACACATATGTATTCGATACCCCTTTGTACCAATATTTATGTGTTCAAATAATCATAGAATCATTGATGAAAAGAAGCAAGCTATACATTAGAACCATCGTTTTTTAATGTTTAACAAAATGGGAATATCTATCAGTTTCGATAATTTTTTTCCTCATTTATCCAGTGAATGAGTACTATATGAAGGAATATAATTTTCACTAGGGATTTCATTACATCAGATTGGAGATATGTAGAGGTTATAGTAATTTTAATAGTTGAATTCATGTGTCGTTCTAAGCTAGATCATCATTCAGAACCTAAGTGGAAACAGTTATCCAATGAATGAAGAGTTGCGTAAACCCATAGATCGAATGAAGTTAGACACTGATAATGTTGAATGCCGGCTCAGTGATCTAAAGGTTAAACGTTCGTGTATGAGACTGAGTCCGAATTCCACGTAGGGGAATCGTGGATGTGTATTGCTGTGGATTCCCATACTAGGACGAAACGGCGGTCTAGTGTTTCCAGGTTTTCAATGGTAACCTAGCTTAAATCGACTCATGAATTCAACTATTATGTTTTCATTTTATTCACTTAAGGTTATCTTAATATCTAATATCTATAAACATGCCATTAAAGCGCATCTCAAAGTGAATGTTAGGGTTTTCGTTGAAATCCTCAGTGGAAATTACACTTTTTTTATATGCAGAATTCACTTAATAATTCGATAGAAAAATGTTAGATATTGAAGACATAATAAACATTGAAAGTCAGCTATGCTAAAAATTCATAGACACTCATCCTATCCCGAATGATTGATATCTATCGGTTGAACTAAATTCCACAGTCCATCAAACTAGACATGTATGATAATAATGAAGTTGATAATGATAATCATGATGATGATGATTTGGATGCTGCTGATGATGATGGTGATGATGCTTTGGATGATGATGATGATGCTTTGGATGATGATGATGATGGTGATGATGATGATGATGATGATGATGATGATGATGATTATGATGCTTTGGATGATGATTTGGATGCTGCTGCTGCTGATGATGATGATGATGATGGTGATGATGCTTTGGATGATGATGCTTTGGATGATGATGATGATGATGATGACGATGATTTGGATGCTGATGATGATGATGATGAAGATAACGATGACGATGACGATAATCGATGCTGTATTTAATAAATTAATAACATGTATCATGCATGTTATTGACAGGATTCATTCCTTTTTGAAATGTACTCAGGACAAATAACAATGTGTATGACTCAATGTACAATTAGAATATTAACAAACTGATATCATGATTCCCTGAGACTATAATTTATGGACGAACCAACTAGATTTAAGATAACAGGTCTTGGATTTCGCTGCTAAATCCATCTATCCATTTGGCTACACAGCATTTCGTCATTATAGCTAATATCAGTTCATAATGGAAAACGTTAAATCTAATTCCTAACCCCTACCCACCAACTGTAAATCATAATCTTTATTGCTTCATACAGACTTATAATCTTTATTTAGCCCTAGTAAGTAGGTGAACATTCTCATGGTCACTTTAGAGTCATTCAAAGATCGTCCATAAATTAGAGTCTCATCTTCTATGACTAATACATGAATCTAAGTTAAATGTTCATTATATACATATAGGTATAGATGAATAATTGTGTTACCGACCTTTTGGACAAAACAAAAAGTAAACTGACTTATGGAAACAACATCATTATTTGTATTATTGTTGTTGTTGTTGTTATGGTTAGTGTGATTGTGGTTGTTGTGGTTGTTAAATATAAAATAAATGTCTTAATATGAGTTTAAGTTAAAGCCAAAGGTGGCCAGTTTTTATAAAATAGATGGTATAGAAGAAGAAAAAGTAAGTCAATCAAGCCCTACTCATGAAGTGTCGAATATGACTAATTAACTAACTAACCTGTAGACCACTGACCCGATATCCAACAGTGTTAATGTTTAACTTCAACTAATCCATAAAATTGCTCAGCTGTCCACCATTGTCTTCAGTGAGTAAGTATCACACAACAGATCCGGTTGAGTTCCACTAGTCAGTGATTCCTACTAGAACTCCAGGAAATACTTCATGAAGCCAGCTATTAGTGAGCATATGCTGAGATGGATAGTGGCTAGCAATAGAATCTAGAATGAGATTTTCGTCCTATTTGGGACTCGTCAGCTGGATATACCAGCATCTCAGAGTTAATGCTCATCCTGGGTTTCGCACCCAACAGCGTTCGATAGCCACCATTCATCTTTGCTTATAATGCTTGTGAATTAAGGTAATATCAAGGTAATCCAAACTGTATGCACAAATACCAATCAATTACAGTCCTAAACATCAATGGGAAGATTCAAGTAAAACAATGCCAAGTGAGCATATGCTGTTTAGTATCAGCAAATTAATTGTTGAAAGAAAATATTAGAACATTAAAAGACATTCAACAACATTATAAACAGAACTGATGGTGGCTAGCAGTGGAATAGAGGATGCGCGTTTCATCACATTTCGGACTCGTTAACTGCATGTAACAGATTAATCAATTTCAGTCCCGAACATCAATGGGAAGATTTAAATAACCAATGCAAAATGAGTTATTTTGCTATTTTGTTCATTGTAGTACTTGAAATCGTTTATGGGTAACAATCGAGTGGGTGATTAGTCCGATCTCTACCATCCAATTTACCGCTCATGTTAGTTCATGGAACAAATCCCAATATCTAGGAGGCAAAACGAGGACGTATGAGTTGTGTTTTATCGTTAACAACATTATTATTGGATAGACAAACCAAAGGGATTTGTTGGTTAACATATTAAAAGTGATTGATAGGTCTTGAGTTCGAATTTCGAGTCTATGATTATTCTTCGTCAAAGTTCCTGGAAGCCCAGAAAACATTAGGAAATGCATAATTTATTCAGTATTGAATAGATGCTTCTTAGATATATCTAGAGAAATTCTGTTTATAGAAGATTCCTAAAGATCAGGGTTATATGCAACTCAAAATGTACTCTTGATTTCCTAAGTATGTACCAAAATCGGGGTAGAGCTTTTAAATCTCGCACCTTCCCTCAATTGTTAAAGTTTACTTGTCAAAGTACTATAGGGTTATAGGACTTACTTACTTACTTACTTGAGCTTGTTACCCCCAATGGAGCATAAGCTTCCAACTAGCATTCTCCAGCCCAATCTGCCCAGAGCCTTCTTTTCTAATCCTATTCAACTGTTGTTCATTCTTCTCATGTCTGTCTCCATTTCTCAATGTAATGTATTCTTTGGTCTTTCTCTCCTCCTTTGGCCTTGAGGATTACAGATGAGAGCTTGACTTGTGACGCAGTTGGGTGCTTTCCTCAATATGTATCATATCCACTTTCAGCGCTTCTTCCTATTTGGGATTATAGGAAATGGCTAGTTAGTAGTAAGTGTTTCCGGTAGCAAACTTACCAATCTGGTGTCCAGTCTATCAGAATAGTGATATTCGACAATTTTTGGTATTTTACAATATCCACTGGTAACATTTGTCTCATACTAAACCTAAGAACTGAATTGAAGTTTAGAACATGATCAGTATAATGGTTTTTTTGTTAATCAGTAGTTCTTTTGAAGGATTACGAACTTCAAAAGACCTATCAAGCTAGACCACCATGAAAAAACTTGAAGCATATTAACATCTTTGAATGCCAGCCAGCTCAGTGTTCTAGCGGTTAAGCGTTCATACATGAGACTTATGGTCCCTGGGTTCAAATCTCGCGTGGTGGGATCGTAGATGCACACTGCTGAAAAGTCTCGTACTAGGACGAAACGGCCATCCACATGAATTCAATTATTGAAAACAAATTACTACAATCTTCACAAAACCCTTGTTTGATAGATTATTAATTTGTGATATGAAAATCATACAAAAAAACTTGTCTTTCGCTTAGCAACTAATGATCATGCCAAAACCATTAAAGAAAGAATTTACTTATGTGATTAATAAGAACAATAATAGTATCAATCAATGAATTGTGCATGATTATTGATTTTGTGCAACGTGTATAAAAATGAATAGAACCATTCATTATGTTGTTTTTTTTCTTTGTATTTTGTCTTAACAAGAATGAAAGTTGACATGTTCAACAAATTCATCGATTGTTTCTTTAGTCTTAGATTATGTTCTTTATGTAAACATCGACTAAGCTTTTATGTGTTGAAAGTATTGCCTGAAGGTAATTGTCTTAATTCATAAGGTAGCAATGGAATTCAGTTTGACGAGCGTTTCGTCCTATTTGGAACTCGTCAGCTGGATGTAACTGTATGACATTTGAAACAAACTGCACCAAGTTAGAGTCTCAGAGTAAAAATCAACAAATTTGGGATGCAGGTATAATAAGCTGTCGAGTACCGGATAGGACGAAGTACGCGTCAAACTGTATTCGATTGCTAGCCACTATCCATCTTTGCTTTGAATATCATTATTGAGGTTTCGAGGGAATATTAATTCACCTTATAAGGATTGCATTATATTCCATACTGTTATTATTATGTGTACATAATATGATTCCACTCGTTTTTCTATTTATTTTCTTGACATTTACGTTATTCCTGATTGATCTCAAACTTTACTTTCATTTTATCATTTTGTTATTATATCGGTGAATACAGAATATCAATGGTTAAGATCATGAGTCAGTTGAAGCTAGACCACAATGGAAAACCTGGAGGCAATGGTCGGTCGTTTCGTCCAAGTATGGGACTCTTCAGCGGTGCGCATCCACAACCTCGCCCCCTGAGAGATTTGAACCCATGACCTGCTGGTTTCGCGCACAAGCACCTAACCACTAGACCACTGAGCCGGCATACAACGGTGTTAATGTATAACTTCAACTAATCCACGAAATTGGGCGACACAACCATGCGCGAAACCAGTAGGTCCTGGGTTCGAATCTCTCAGGGGGCGAGGTTGTGGATGCGCACCGCTGAAGAGTCCCACACTAGGACGAAACGACCGACCATTGTCTCCAGGTTTTCCATTGTGGTCTAGCTTCAACTGACTCATGATCTTAACCATTGATATTCTGTATTCACCCATATAATAACAAAAAGCTGGATAAACTCCGGAATAGGTGGAAACATTCACATACCTGAGCAACATAATCAATGAACAAGGAGGATCTGATGCATACGTAAAGGAAATAATTGGAGAGGTAAAGACAGTATTTCAACAACTGAAAAACTTATGGAACTGAACAAAAACGCCAACCAGTATGAAAGTCAGAATGTTCAATATGAATGTCAACACAGTTCTACTGTATGCAGTTGGAACTTGAAGAATTACCGCAAATATTATCAAAACGGTATAAGTATTTCTAAACATTTGTCTACGTAAGATGCTGAATGTCCGTTGACCGGATACCATCAGCAACAACCTACTGTGAGAGAGAACAAACTAGCTTCCAACTGAAGAAGAAATTAAGAAAAGACATTAAAAATGGATAGAACATACATTGAGTAAATCATCAAACTGCAACATGAGACAAGTACTTACCTGGATTCCTGAAGAGAAATAGAAAAGAGGAAGACTCAAGAACATACTTCTTCGGGAATCGGAAGTAGACATGAGAAGAGTGTATGGAAACTGGAAGCAACTTGAAAGGATATGCGAAAATCACAATGATTAAAAACGACTGGCTGTATCACATACTAAGTTGAAATCAACCATCCACACTAAATGATTCCACATGAGATTCCATACAGTAACTTCATACTTAAATCAAAGTGTGTTGATTTCTATACCAATGAATTGAATTTCAGAAGCTCAACTTTTTATTCTTGTCATTAAATGATCATTACTTGAAATGAAGAATGGGAAGCTTTAGATAGATCCAATTGAAGGGGTTTTAAAATTAGATGAGTATCATAACTTTCTATGACTTATTTTCTGATATAGTCGTCTATGCGTCCAAATGCCGTGATACAGCCGAGAGTGGGCAGAGTTAACTATCCCTCTCGAAATGCTCTCTCATGGCCACGTGAATACAACCACTGCCAGGGTAGTCCTACTTATTGACTTCTCGTGGCGGGGGTGTTCTTTTTACGAAGTTGAGGGGACCAAAAACGAATGTCCTGCACTTTAACAGGGTTGGTCGACATGGAGGTTCTACCTAGGGGAGTTGGAAAACCCTCATTCCA